AGAGACCAGAGAGAGACTAGAAAGAGAGACCAGAGAGAGAGCAAAGAGAGACCAGATAGAGACCAGAGAGAGAGACCAGAGAGAGAGCAGAGAGAGACTAGAGAGAGACCAGAGAGAGACCAGAGAGAGAGACCAGAGAGAGACTAGAGAGAGAGACCAGAGAGAGAGCAAAGAGAGACCAGAGAGAGAGACCAGAGAGAGAGACCAGAGAGAGAGACCAGAGAGAGACCAGAGAGAGACTAGAGAGAGGCCAGAGAGAGACTAGAGAGAGAGACCAGAGAGAAAGCAAAGAGAGACCAGAGAGAGAGACCAGAGAGAGACTAGAGAGAGGCCAGAGAGAGACTAGAGAGAGGCCAGAGAGAGGGACCAGAGAGAGACCAGAGAGAGACCAGAGAGAGACTAGAGAGAGGCCAGAGAGAGGGACAAGAGAGAGACCAGAGAGAGACCAGAGAGAGACCAGAGAGAGACCAGAGAGAGACCAGAGAGAGACCAGAGAGAGAGAAACCACAAACTTCACCAACCAAAGTAATCTTTGTTTTTTTTTTGCAATAAAATTAAAATCAGAAAACAGAGTGGATCTAGTTGAGTTTTTGCTGAAACTTTAAAACAGCGACTTTCTCTTCATAAAACACAAAGTGAAACTGGTTTGTGGTTCTTTGTCATTGTGTGTTTGTCTGAAGAGGAAGCTGCAACAAAACCAAATGTTTTAAATGTATTTCCCAGTAACAGACCAGAGAGAGACCAGAGAGAGACCAGAGAGAGACCAGAGAGAGACCAGAGCGAGACCAGAAAGAGACCAGAGAGAGAGACCAGAGAGAGACCAGAGCGAGACCAGAAAGAGACCAGAGAGAGAGACCAGAGAGAGACCAGAGAGAGACCAGAGAGAGACCAGAGAGAGACCAGAGAGAGACCAGAGAGAGACCAGAGAGAGACCAGAGCGAGACCAGAAAGAGACCAGAGAGAGAGAGACCAGAGAGGAGAGACCAGAGAGAGAGACCAGAGAGAGACCAGAGAGAGGCCAGAGAGAGACCAGAGAGAGACCAGAGAGAGAGAGACCAGAGAGAGACCAGAGAGAGACTAGAGAGAGACCAGAGAGAGGCCAGAGAGAGACCAGAGAGAGAGACCAGAGAGAGAGAGACCAGAAAGAGAGACCAGAGAGAGAGAGAGCAGAGAGAGACCACAGAGAGAGCAGAGAGAGACCACAGAGAGAGCAGAGAGAGACCAGAGAGAGAGACCAGAGAGAGAGACCAGAGAGAGACCAGAGAGAGACCAGAGAGAGACCAGAGAGAGACCACAGAGAGAGCAGAGAGAGACCACAGAGAGAGCAGAGAGAGACCAGAGAGAGAGACCAGAGAGAGAGAGACCACAGAGAGAGCAGAGAGAGACCAGAGAGAGAGACCAGAGAGAGACCACAGAGAGACCAGAGAGAGACCACAGAGAGACCAGAGAGAGACCAGAGAGAGACCAGAGAGAGACCACAGAGAGAGCAGAGCGAGAGACCACAGAGAGAGCAGAGCGAGAGAGCACACACCTTAAATGTACCAGATTTAAGCACCAGATCAGTTCAAGGCCAAGACTCTGCTGTGAAAAGGTGCTGTGGTCGTGGGGAAAGTGTCTTGCCAAAGGACACAGCGTTGGCACATCATTCCATCAAGTCTATCAGTTAAAATGTCTGAATATGGGATTTTTAAATACATTCGGCCAAAACAAAGCAGACGTGTTTTGGTCAAAGAGATTGTTATTGTTGACTGTACTATAGATGGGCTATGCTAACCCGCTAGCTCAGGGGTGTCCAAACTTTTTAGTAAGCGGGCCATTTTAGTTCACCAGACTAGTCCAGGGACCGACCTCCCGGACTGAAAACTGTCTTTACTGGCATCGGGCTGTTCTGAGCTTTAAAATGATATATAACGGAGCTGAAGTTGGCTGAATGACTATTGTTTACCATCTAACCAGCCACATTAGCATCATTAACCGAAGTGACACAATCAAAAACCACGTCAGTACAGTATATACAAACACGTAGCTACAACATGTCTATATTGGCTGAGCTGGAGTTGGCTGGATGACACCGTGAGTCCGTCTTTGGGATCATTATGAGCTGCTATGGCTTGTTATACTTCATTTTAAAGTCTATTATCACAGGAGAACACATCATGGAATCTGTTCTAAAAGGTCAAATACATTTCTTCTTAATATTTGGCCTGTTTTGGTTGAAAGTAATATCCAAATCGTTTTAAATACAGTTAATTTGTCAAAAGAAAAAAAGAAGAAAAATATTTATACTTTAACATTCACTTTTGTACTTCTGGCCCTGACCTGCTGAAAATCTAATGTTAAACAAGACTAAAACTAACTACAACAACATTATTTATGACGTTAACTGGACAAACGTGAGATTCTCAGTTTTTGTGACTGATTTTGACCTGTATTTGACCCAGAGACGATCTCTGCCGTTCTAACTAAAGTGCCAAAATTTGGGCTTTCATGGAGTGATTCAAAATTCCCGCAGGGGCTGGAAAATGTGAAAAAACGCATCTGTCATCCAGCACGAGCTCCATTCATTTAAAGGAGTAACTTCTAAAGTCCACAGCGACTAAACTAGACTGGTCCAGAACACTCAGCATTGACACACATGTAACGGAGCTTTGGGCCAAGAGACAACTTTTGGTCCATCCTGTAAAGGTGTTTTCCAGAGGTAAGAAGATGCTATATGTTAGCATTGGCTAATTCTTATTCCGGGTCCACCCCCACAGGCCCGGGGTGGTACTGCAGCATGTCAGGGTCCACCCCCACAGGCCCGGGGTGGTATTGTCCCTTCACTGCTGATTTGAGCAAAAACCCTGAAACCATGAGAAGAACAAAAACATTAAAGGTCCACAGACGTTAGAAAAAGACACAGACCAAAACAGAAGGCGTCAGACTCTGCACCGGCTCCGACACAACGTGTTATTGATGTTAAAAACGGCTTTAGATTAGAATAAAATTGAGTTTGTTCTGTACCAGATTATTATTCTATATCTTTGATCCTGCGGCTAATAGCGATGCAGCTAATGTACGCAGGAGGGTCAAGGACATTTCCAGACAGTGGTCATGCTGCCCCCTGTGGACCAACGGCTCTATGTGTTTGTAGTCTCGGTCTGATTCTCTGATCTGTTGTTGGCCAATCGACAACATTGTTAAGACCTCCCAGACGATGGGGAGCTTTGTTTTGTCAAATGTATTTTAGAAAATCCCATATTCACTGACCTTTTGGGATCTAAACGACTTCTGTGTGCTGTTTGCATGTCCTATGGCTGTGTAGGTTTCCTCCAGGTGCTCCGGTTTCTGCATGTACAATAGACCTCCTGTAGGAGTGGAGTGAGAGACAAATGCCCACAATTGTAAAGTGCTTTGTGACTGGTCTGAAAGGCGCTTTAATAATAAATATTACTCATTGATTGATTGAAAGTGAACATTATTCTTGCTCAAGCACTTATTATTATTATTATTGTTATTATTATTATTATTATTATTATTATTGTTATTATGATTATGATTATGATTGTTATTATTATTATTATTGTTATTATTATTATTATTGTTATTATTATTATTATTAGTATTGTTATTATTATTATTATTATTGTTATTGTTATTATTATTGTTATTGTTATTATTATTATTATTGTTATTATTATTCTATTGCTCCTTGTGTCAGTCCATAGACGGTATCGACCTGGTCTCATCAATCCAAACACCATTTAACACTAGAACCGTCTTTTTGACTGCTCCTGCTCAAACCAATGAACTTCTAAGAAATTGCCTCAGGACATTTTTTTTAGTTTTCAAAAGGTGTAATTTATTTTATACTTGTGTTTTTCACCTTTACTCTCTTTTAATAAGTGCTAAAACTGGTGAATACAGCGGAATTACAGCTAAAGGCTAATGCTAAGAGCTAATGCTAATGATGCAGGTGCACAGTGTGTTGCTATGGTAACTATGGTCCCTTCTTGGGTGGGAAAACAAGCTCTTCTCGGAACCAGGGCGAGCCTAAAAACCAGTCCAGAACCAGTCTAGAACCAGTCCAGAACCAATCTAGAACCAGTCCAGGACCAGTCTAGAACCAGTCCAGGACTAGCCTAGAACCAGTCCATGTTTTATCTACATATTGTTGGTTATACAGAAACTGAAGTGGATAATGTGTAGTTTTATTTAAAGAAATCCTCACATTTCAAAGTAAATTTCATTAAAATAATGTCATAGAAAAAAATCTACAGAAACACAATAAAAACAGTAAAAGTAGTGAAGACGAACATGTGCAAGAGTCACTTTCAGAGATAAAAGCAGTGAAAATATGCTCAGTGTCGGGAGTAACATATTCAGAATACTCTTTCTGAGTAACTGTATCCATTAGTTACTCATTTAAAGTCTAGTATTTAAAAAACAGTAACTTTCTGTAAACCAGACTTTCACTTTTATGTTTGAGGAAAATGATGAACCACTTTAACATGTTTTTATAATTACAATGTTTTATTTATTCACACATTTACTGAGTTTGTGTTTTTAAGAAATGTAGAAATTTACCTTTTATACGTTTTATAAATACACATTAATCAGTATTCTGAATACAGGTGCTACTTTTTCCAAAGTAGCAGAATACTTTACAAAATACACTCTAGCTCATGTACTCAGTATTCTGGAACAGAATACAAGTATTTTACCCAACACTGTTTATGCAAATGTTGATAATAATAATGATAATAATAGTAATGCATTTATTTCATTCTTTTTGGACACTCAAAGTTGCCTCGTTATTCTCTCTCTCCAAACACGGTGGTGATAAACTACCATCGTAGCCACAGCTGCCCTGGGGCACACTGACAGGTTGCATTAACTTGTTTTGCAGAGGCCTCTCACCAAACCCTGTAAAAACGCCTCTCACTCAGTCCGTAGCTCCCCTCTCTCTCCCATTCCACTTTCAAACCCCGTCAAATTGACTGCTCCGGTAGTTCCCAGCGTTAAAAACACACCCACACACACACACCCCACACACACCCCTGATCGAGAGCCGGGCTGGTTGTGCTGGAGGCCCCTGGCTCGGTCGGTGGCTCCGGGCTCACTTCCTGGTGCGCCAGTGAGAGGCAGTACTGAGCACAAGCCCAAGCCGCGCTGCGAGACACATTCACGCAGAAAAACACACAGAGGAGAGACGAGAGGGGCTGGAGACGCGATCCGGACTGTAGTCTCTGTTCCCACGAAGCCCCTGTGTCTCTGTCTGGGGACATTTGGACACCTCTCCCCGGGCCCGGAGCTCTCTTCACCCCCCGCAGAAGGACACCGCAGTCGGATGACTCTCTGCTGCAGCTCGCGTTGAATTCTAACGGGGGAAGCCTATCTCCCTCCCTCCCCTATTTTTTTCTGTTTCTATTCCATTCCCCACACCAGTCATTTCTGGAAGGACAATCCCCAGCTTTTGGTCGGATTTTTTTTGTTTTGTTTTTGTTTTTTTTGTTGCTTTTGCCATTTCGGGGCCGAGGGAAGATGGGTTGTTTGGGGAACAGTAAGACAGAGGACCAGCGGATCGACGAGAAGGCACAGCGAGAAGCTAATAAAAAGATAGAAAAACAGCTGCAGAAGGAGCGACAGGCGTACAAAGCGACACACAGGCTGTTGTTGCTCGGTAAGGACCGGAGGATATGGGTATGATATGTGCCATGGCCCTGGGTTTGGCTCGCCTTTGTAGCCGTCGTTTTGACAGCAGCAGCAACAATGTGTCATGGGGGTGGATATTGATGGAACTAGCAAAGCACTGTTAGCCTACCATTAACTGCATTCACGCTGAAAACCCCGTAGGATATATCATTTCCTAGTACTGCTTCACATCCGTGCGTAATGCCCCGTGCGTAATGCCCACATATGTCTCGCTATTCTCTTATGTGCTGTTTTCTCTGTGGTTTCTTCCTCAAGGTGCTGGAGAGTCCGGAAAGAGCACCATCGTGAAACAAATGAGAATCCTTCACGTCAATGGCTTCAACGCAGAGTGAGTTTTGTGCGAATGGCCGTGGTTTTTATTTTCGTGTGTGCCAAAGCTAGCTCCTGTGTTTTCGTATGTGTTGCTAATAACAAGCTGTAGTTTTAGCCGCTGTCAGTGCGTTCCCAGCCTCTCTCTCTCTGCAGCAGCGGCGCTAGGAAGGGCCCAAGCTCCCCGTACAACATACAAGCTAACGCAGCCCTCAAAAAAAAAAAAAAAAGCCTAGCACCCCCCTCCTCTTCCTCCTCCTCCTCCTCCTCCTCCTCCTCTCTCATGCACATGCACAAGTTATTTATCTACTTTGTCACGTCAGATTTCCTGTTGGATGCGAGCGGGTGAAAGGTTGGCATCGACTCAATTGTTTTTGCTGCAAGGCCCTGCACAGAATTGATCACTGTCGAGCTGTGCTCCATTTAAACATGTCCCCGACGGTCCGTGGAAAGGCTGCAGCAGAGGCGGAACACGCAGAAAGGGGGGACACGGGCTATTTTTAGCGTCGTTCGTCCCCATCATTTCAATATCAGAATTTATTTACGTTGATCTTTCCGCGGTCTGCTGTGTTAGTGCGGCCACATTGTGCTAGCTTGGTCTGTAAGAGTCTGGCAAGTCCAAAGCTAAGGCCCGCGGGCTGGTTGCGGCCCGTTCTGTCACGTTATGCGGCCCTATGTTATGCTAATGTTTGGAATATTTGAGATTGTTAACGCCAGATCACGGTGTCATCCAGCCAACTTCTGCCAGGCTAATGTTACTGGTATTACCGAAAACACGGTAATACAATTTAGCTTTGTGGTTGATTTGATTAAAAATATATCTCCAATTAGTTATTCTACGATTCAGTCCCATCCAATGTTATTACACGGTTATTTACCTAATTGGGATTTTGTTTATTCAAGAGAGAGAGGAGACAAGAGGGAGACCAGAGAGACCAGAGAGAGAGAGAGAGAGAGACCAGAGAGAGAGAGAGAGAGAGAGAGACCAGAGAGAGAGAGAGAGAGAAGAGACCAGAGAGAGAGAGAGAGAGAGAGAGAGAGAGAGAGAGACCAGAGAGAGAGAGAGAGAGACCAGAGAGAGAGAGAGAGAGAGAGACCAGCGAGCGAGAGAGAGAGAGACCAGAGAGAGAGAGAGAGAGACCAGAAGAGAGAGAGAGAGAGAGAGAGACCAGAGAGCAGAGAGTCTCGCCCCTCCCCGCATATATCACTCTCAGCTCCACCCTCACCAGCGAGACGAGCGCCCGAACTCGCCTACTGTTACACGCGCCCGCTGCGCGCGGCCGCGCACGAACGAAGACCCGCACCCGCTACTCCGCTCTCCCGTCTACGTCTCAACGCGCGCACCGGCCAAGCTCCGCTAGCCGTCGGCCCGCCCTCACACCTGCTCGCAGAGGCCGCCCTCAAGCGCACTCGACTCGCTCGCAGCCGCCCCTCCCACAACTTCTTCGCTCGCTCTGCTCTGCCCCATACTCTCTTCTCTCTCTCTCGTCTCCCATTGCGCGTCGCTTCTCGTTCGCACGGTACCACCCTCCGTCGCGCTCTCTCATGGCTGTTCGCCCCTCATCGCTCAGCGCGCCCCGCACAACATCCCGCCCTCTCTCTGCGCCCATCTCTCTCTCTGCCGCCTCCCTTGCAAGCGCGCAGTCTCCCCGACGCTCTCTCGCGTCGGTTCGCGTCGCCTCGCCCCCGTACGTGCTCGCGCTCTCGCTCGAGCTCTCCCCGCTCTGTCGTCGCTTTACGCTCTCGCGCGCCCGCCCCCCCGCGCAGTCGCTCGCTCTCTCGGACCCCTTACGGCTGCTGCGCGCCTCTTCTCCCAGTGCGCGTCTCGCGTGCTCATTCTGCCCCCGTTACAGACGCTGCTCGGCGCGACCCTCGTCGCTCGCTCTCGCGGCGAGCTCGTCACGCGCTCCACCGCGCGCGCGCGCTACTGCGCTCGACGCTGCCCATAAGTAGCCCCGAGAGGTGAACCACATCGCGAGGAGCGCGTCCATCTCTACCAGAAGAAACACGAGCACCAGGAAGAAGAGACAAAGATAGATGTGACTGCAGAAAAGACAAGATAAAAAAGAGAGAGGACGCGACCCCTAGTCAAAGGAAGAGAGACCAAAGAGAGACGACGCCAAATAGAGAGACAGGAAAATGAGAGAAAGAAAAAAAACGCCAGAAAAGAGAGAGACCAGCGGAGAGAGAGCAGACAGACGGTGCAACTAAAAACAAAAAAAACAAAAAAGAGAACGAGTGAGAGACATCCCAGCAAGCAGCTAGACAGCTGAGACGCCCAATCAGCGCAGAAGAGAACCATACTAGATACGAAGGGGGGGGGGGACCAGGCAGGAGAGAGGGGACCCCAGGAGGCGATAGGGGGACCGAAGACGAGATAGGTTGACCCGCGACGCAGAGGGGCCCCAGAGAAAAAGGAGGAACCCTACGCTCTCGGGTCGCCGCCCCGCGCGCGCGGTGGGCCCCCTGCCTAGAGGTGGGCCCAGCGTGAGCGCGCTCGGGGGGACCGACGAGATCGGGAGACCCAGATGAGAGAGAGGGGGAGAGCACACCAGAGCGTCACGTGGGCACGGCACCGAGCGCTGCTAATCGGGAGCCCCCTCGAGCTCTGGGTCGCACCAAACTCTCCAGCTCGGGTGTCCCCCCAGCGCGCTCTCATCGGGCTCCCTCCTCGCGCTCGTGGTCCCACATCGCTCTCTTGCCCCCCCCATCAATCTCAATCCGGGTTTCCCCGCGCGCTCGGGTGCCCCGCGCTCACGGGCGCCCACCGCGGCTCGCTGGTTTCACCCGCTCGAACGGACAGCAAGACCCTACTCTCGCTGGCGCCCCCCATGACAACACCGCAGCGGGGACCCTCGGCAGCAGCCGCAGAAGGGGGACCAAGAAGAGATCTGGGGGACCAGCGAGATAAGTTGCGAACCAGAGGCGAGATGGTGGAAAACCAGCCAGCTCGCTCAGGTCGCCCTCGCCCTCTCGCTGACGTTGTGGGCCCCAGCATCAGCGAGGAAAGGCTATCCAGAGCTCTCGTGGTGCCCCCCCGCAATGCTCTGGGGGTGCCCAGCCACGGGAGCGAGGGCAGGGGGAACACCCCCAGAGAGAGAGGGGGGGGACCCAGACCAGCGCGAGATCCCACGAGAGAGGAGCGGCAGGACCCCACCCCGCGGGGAGAGAACGACAGACAGGGAGACCCAAGAGGAGACCAGATCCAATGTGGCTCTCTTACTTGAAAGTTTGGGCACCCCTGATATATATAGATGAATGTATATGTGTATATATATATTTATATTTACTTATTACTCTTATTATGAATCAACTACAGCTAGCATTCACAGCTACTTCCCTGTTCTCCTTCTGTGCTCTTACTACTGTCCTGTGAGTGCGCTGCAACACAGAAATGTCTCCATTACAATACAATACAGCTTCTCTCTCTTATCTCAGACTTTCTAATGCCGGCAGAACATGGCTGGGTTATGTTCTGTCCTGGGGCTAACACGAGACCACGTAGCTAAAGCTAATGCTAATGCTAATGCTAGTATTGAAGCCATTGCAGCTAGTGGAGTAGAGACACCCTCCTCGGCCAATCACCCCAAAGTGTCTCATACTGACTCCTAGGGCTGGTTCTTACAGAGAGAGAGAGAGAGACTAGAGAGAGAGAGACTAGAGAGAGAGAGAGACTAGAGAGAGACTAGAGAGAGAGAGACTAGAGAGAGACTAGAGAGAGACTAGAGAGAGAGAGACTAGAGAGAGACTAGAGAGAGAGAGACTAGAGAGAGACTAGAGAGAGAGAGACTAGAGAGAGACTAGAGAGAGAGACTAGAGAGAGACTAGAGAGAGACTAGAGAGAGACTAGAGAGAGAGAGAGACTAGAGAGAGAGACTAGAGAGAGAGACTAGAGAGAGAGACTAGAGAGAGAGAGAGACTAGAGAGAGAGAGAGACTAGAGAGAGACTAGAGAGAGAGAGAGACTAGAGAGAGAGACTAGAGAGAGAGACTAGAGAGAGAGAGAGAGACTAGAGAGAGAGAGAGAGACTAGAGAGAGAGAGAGACTAGAGAGAGAGACTAGAGAGAGAGACTAGAGAGAGAGAACTAGAGAGAGATCTAGAGAGAGACTAGAGAGAGACTAGAGAGAGAGACTAGAGAGAGAGAGAGACTAGAGAGAGAGAGAGACTAGAGAGAGACTAGAGAGAGAGAGAGACTAGAGAGAGACTAGAGAGAGAGAGACTAGAGAGAGACTAGAGAGAGAGAGACTAGAGAGAGAGAGACTAGAGAGAGAGAGAGACTAGAGAGAGAGACTAGAGAGAGAGACTAGAGAGAGAGAGACTAGAGAGAGAGAGACTAGAGAGAGAGAGAGACTAGAGAGAGAGACTAGAGAGAGAGAGACTAGAGAGAGAGAGACTAGAGAGAGAGACTAGAGAGAGAGAGAGACTAGAGAGAGAGAGAGACTAGAGAGAGAGACTAGAGAGAGAGAGACTAGAGAGAGAGACTAGAGAGAGAGAGACTAGAGAGAGAGAGAGAGACTAGAGAGAGAGAGAGAGACCATAGAGAGAGAGAGACTAGAGAGAGAGAGAGACTAGAGAGAGAGAGAGACTAGAGAGAGAGACTAGAGAGAGAGAGACTAGAGAGAGAGACTAGAGAGAGAGAGACTAGAGAGAGAGAGAGAGACTAGAGAGAGAGAGAGAGAGAGAGAGAGAGAGAGAGAGACTAGAGAGAGAGAGAGACTAGAGAGAGAGAGAGAGAGAGACTAGAGAGAGAGTGAGACTAGAGAGAGAGACTAGAGAGAGAGAGAGAGACTAGAGAGAGAGAGAGACTAGAGAGAGAGAGAGACTAGAGAGAGACTAGAGAGAGAGAGACTAGAGAGAGACTAGAGAGAGAGAGACTAGAGAGAGAGAGAGACTAGAGAGAGAGAACTAGAGAGAGAGACTAGAGAGAGAGACTAGAGAGAGAGAGACTAGAGAGAGAGAGACTAGAGAGAGAGAGAGACTAGAGAGAGAGACTAGAGAGAGAGAGAGACTAGAGAGAGAGACTAGAGAGAGAGAGAGACTAGAGAGAGAGAGACTAGAGAGAGAGAGACTAGAGAGAGAGACTAGAGAGAGAGAGACTAGAGAGAGAGACTAGAGAGAGAGAGACTAGAGAGAGAGAGAGAGACTAGAGAGAGAGAGAGAGAGAGAGAGAGAGAGAGAGAGACTAGAGAGAGAGAGAGACTAGAGAGAGAGAGAGAGAGAGAGACTAGAGAGAGAGTGAGACTAGAGAGAGAGACTAGAGAGAGAGAGAGAGACTAGAGAGAGAGAGAGACTAGAGAGAGAGAGAGACTAGAGAGAGAGAGAGTGAGACTAGAGAGAGAGTGAGACTAGAGAGAGAGAGAGACTAGAGAGGGAGAGAGACTAGAGAGGGAGAGAGACTAGAGAGAGAGAGAGTGAGACTAGAGAGAGAGAGAGACTAGAGAGAGAGAGAGACTAGAGAGAGAGGGGGACCAGAGAGACTCCCATTTTCTGCTGTGTATTTTTGCTTATCGTCTCCCATTTAAACATTCAGTATTGGGCTGAAATGTCACCCTAAAGTGTCCCGCTCTCAGAGAGACCGAGCGGCTCCACGACCCGGTCCACGACCCGGTCCACGACCCGGTCCACGACCCGGTCCAGTGATGGACTAGTCTCAGATTCAGGTCATTTTGTTCCGGGTGTCGGACTGACCTATATGGAGAAATATTACATGGATCCTCCACAGAAGCTTGATCAACATGTAACTCCATCATCAGGCTGAAAGGACTGAGCAGAGAGACCGGAGAGAGAGAGAGAGAGACCGGAGAGAGGGGGAGAGATAGAGACCGGAGAGAGGGGGAGAGAGAGAGACCGGAGAGAGAGAGGGAGAGAGAGAGAGACCGGAGAGAGGGGGGGAGAGAGACCGGAGAAAAAGAGAGAGGGAGAGACCGGAGAGAGGGGGAGAGACCGGAGAAAGAGAGAGAGGGAGAGACCGGAGAGAGGGGGAGAGACCGGAGAAAGAGAGAGAGGGAGAAACGCGGGAGAGAGGGAGAGACCGGAGAGAGGGAGAGAGAGGGAGAGGGAGAGAGACCAGAGAGAGAGGGAGAGACAAGAGAGAGCGGGAGAGAGGGAGAGACTGGAGAGAGGGAGAGACCGGAGAGAGGGAGAGGGAGAGAGACCAGAGAGAGAGGGAGAGACGAGAGAGAGCGGGAGAGAGGGAGAGACTGGAGAGAGGGGGAGAGAGAGAGACCAGAGAGCGAGACCGGAGAGGGAGAGAGAGAGAGAGACCGGAGAGAGGGGGAGAGAGACCGAAGAAAGGGAGAGAGAGAGAGACCGGAGAGGGAGAGAGACCAGAGAGAGAGAGGGAGAGACCGGCGAGAGAGAGACAGGAGAGGGAGAGCGAGAGGGACTGGAGAGAGAGAGACCGATAGAGACCAATAGAGAGAGACCAGAGAGAGAGAGACCAGAGAGAGACCAGAGAGAGAGACCAGAGAGACAGACCCTGGGGATGTCAGGATTTCCAGTCTCACTTCTACCACTTACTCTTTAGTTTAGTTTAGTTTAGTTTACTCATCTTGACTTCATAAAACAGATGAATTTCCTGGCGCCATTGTGGGACTGAGGCGGATACAGAGAAAAATCTGTCTTTTTCTTTTCTTTTGCTGCTTGTGTGTGTGTTGTGTGTTGTGTTGTGTGTGTTTTTGTGTGTGTGTGTGTGTGTTATCAGGTCCTCTGTAGGGCACCGCAGCACACAGCATTTATTCACAGCCTCAGTGTCACACGCCTCTGTGGAAAAGGGCCCCGAGGAGCCCCTGTCTACACGCACACACACACACACACACACACACACGTCTGCTCCTCTGCTCACACACACACACAGGCACACGCACACACACAGGCACATGCACACACACAGGCACACGCACACATACACACACACACCCACACACACGCACACAGGCACACGCACACACACACACAGGCACACAGGCACGCATATACACACACATATACACGCACACATATACACGCACACACTCATGTACTCGCACACACGCATATACATACACATATTGCATATACTGTACATACACACACACTTATGGAGTCGGTGGATCTGAGGCAAGAGACACTGAGGTGGAGGAGGAGGTGATGGAGGAGTAGAGGAGGAGGTGATGGAGGAGGTGAGGAGGAGGTGATGGAGGAGGAGGTGAAGAGGTGATGATGAGGAGGTGAGGTGGAGGTGATGGAGGAGGAGGTGATGAGGAGGAGGGAGGAGGTGATGAGGTGGGAGGAGGTGATGATGAGGAGGTGATGAGGAGGTGATGAGGAGGTGATGAGGAGGAGGTGATGAGGAGGAGGTGAGGAGGTGATGATGAGGAGGGGATGAGGAGGTGATGATGAGGAGGTGATGAGGAGGTGATGATGAGGAGGTGATGAGGAGGTGATGAGGAGGAGGTGAGGAGCTGATGATGAGGAGGTGATGAGGAGGTGAGGAGCTGATGATGAGGAGGTGATGAGGAGGTGATGAGGAGGTGATGAGGAGGAGGTGATGAGGAGGAGGAGGAGGTGATGGTGAGGAGATGAGGAGGTGATGAGGAGGAGGTGATGAGGAGGTGATGATGAGGAGGGGATGAGGAGGTGATGATGAGGAGGTGATGAGGAGGAGGTGAGGAGGTGATGAGGAGGAGGTGATGATGAGGAGGTGATGATGAGGTGATGATGAGGAGGTGATGAGGAGGAGGTGATGAGGAAGAGGTGAGGAGGTGATGAGGAGGAGGTGATGATGAGGTGATGATGAGGAGGTGAGGTGGAGATGGAGGTGATGAGGAGGAGCAGGTTATGGAGGGACCTGTAGGTGATGAAGAGGACATTATATGCAGTATGGCACAGGGAGCCAGTGGAGCCCGTGGAGTGGTTTGAGGACGGGGGTGATGTGCTCTCGGACTCTGGACGTGTTTGGAGACCAGTGGAAGAGAGACCATAGAGGAGGCTTTACGATTACCATATTTCTGTCACATGGTCCTAGAGGCGATAGTAACATATGGTATAGGTCCAATGCCGATAATGAGTAAATATGGAGGTATCGATTTTGATTGACCAGAGAGAGACCAGAGAGAGACCAGAGAGAGACCAGAGAGAGACCAGAGAGAGACCAGAGAGAGACCAGAGAGAGACCAGAGAGAGACCAGAGAGAGACCAGAGAGAGACCAGAGAGAGACCAGAGAGAGACCAGAGAGAGACCAGAGAGAGACCAGAGAGAGAGACCAGAGAGAGACCAGAGAAAGACCAGAGAGAGACCAGAGAGAGACCAGAGAGAGACCAGAGAGAGACCAGAGAGAGACCAGAGAGAGACCAGAGAAAGACCAGAGAGAGACCAGAGAGAGAGACCAGAGAGAGAGACCAGAGAGAGAGACCAGAGAGAGACCAGAGAGAGAGACCAGAGAGAGAGACCAGAGAGAGAGACCAGAGAGAGAGACCAGAGAGAGAGACCAGAGAGAGAGACCAGAGAGAGAGACCAGAGAGAGACCAGAGAGAGAGACCAGAGAGAGAGACCAGAGAGAGAGACCAGAGAGAGAGACCAGAGAGAGAGACCAGAGAGAGAGACCAGAGAGAGAGACCAGAGAGAGAGACCAGAGAGAGACCAGAGAGAGACCAGAGAGAGACCAGAGAGAGACCAGAGAGAGACCAGAGAGAGAGACCCGAGAGAGACCCGAGAGAGACCCGAGAGAGACCCGAGAGAGGCCAGAGAGAGGCCAGAGAGAGGCCAGAGAGAGGCCAGAGAGAGGCCAGAGAGAGGCCAGAGAGAGAGACCAGAGAGAGACCAGAGAGAGACCCGAGAGAGACCCGAGAGAGACCAGAGAGAGGCCAGAGAGAGAGAGGGGCAGAGAGGGAGAGAGTGCAGAGAGAGAGAGAGAGAGTGCAGAGAGAGAGAGAGAGAGAGTGCAGAGAGAGAGAGAGAGAGAGTGCAGAGAGCGAGAGAGTGCAGAGAGAGAGAGAGAGTGCAGAGAGAGAGACCTCTGCTTTCACATGTTTGGAGAATATTCCTCTGGAGCAAAGTCTGAAAAGTTTTGTGAAGTTTTTCCTCTTTTAAAATCAATCGTTTGTTTTTAAAGACGTTTTCTTTGTCATTTCATGTTTTATAATGTTGTTAATATCTTTTAGAAATGATTTGGTGAAACAGGTGTGAAGAGTATAAAAAGCTTTTTGCCTGTAACTCCCTGTGCTGCCACCAGAGGGCGTTGGATTTGACCAAATTCTATAATTATCGACTGCAAACACCGACGTACGAAGGTGAATAATGTCCTTTCATTTGAGAAATGACCAGAACCAGAATCTCTCTGCGTTTTTCTTTCTTGAGTGGTTCCTTCCTGAAGTAGCATTTATAACATGTATTAACATGTATTAACATGGATTAACATTTATTAACATTTATTAACATGTGTTAACATGTATTAACATGTATTAACTAGGGTTGTCAAACGATTAATTTTTTTAATCGAGTTAATTACAGCTTAAAAATTAATTAATCGTAATTCATCACATTTCAAACTATTGGCAAAATTATGCCATATTTTTCTGTAAATGGTTGTTTGAATGGAAAGATAAATGACAGCTTAGTGAACATATGAACTGTATTTGTTTGTTATAACAATAAATTCATATAAAATGGCATTAACATTATTAACATTCTGTCTTTCTGTTTAGACTCAGACCAAAACCATTGTTTGTTACAGATGAGGGACATTTAGAAATAGTCTGAAGCAGAATGTCATTAAATCTGTTTGATTTTCTCACACCATTACTTTTTTGGCACAACTAACATGAACTGATGGTCGAAAGGAAAATTAGGTACCTCAGCTTTAATTTAGCGAGTGCGCTTCGGGAGAAGACACGGAGGAGACTGAGGCTCCGCAGTCCAGCTTCAGCGCTGTACATATTGTGTGTATCTGTTACGCAAAGACACGTACGCACACTAGAGAATAGTTCTGTAATAGTTCTGTGCGTGGTCTTGGATATGATCCCATTACGCAGCGGCGTTCGCCGTGATCACAGCCGCTGGAAGTGGGAACTGTCCAGAGCGCTGTGGCGCCCGCAGCTCATCATGCAGAGTTCATACAGGAAACTACAAGTGCCCCGCGGTCACGCGTGTATTCTTTCAAAACTTGAATTCCCAGAGGGCCTACCTGCTCTGTCCCCATCTTACACACGCATGTGTCCGCGGCATTCTGAGTGTTATTATGGGACGCATGGGCATGCGTCAAATGCGTTAATTTTTTTAACGCGATTAATGAAAAAAATTAATTAACGTGCGTTACCGCGATAATTTTGACAGCCCTAGTATTAACATGTATTAACATGCATTAACATGTATTAACATGTATTAACATGTATTAACATGTATTAACATGTATTAACATGTATTAACATGTATTAACATGTATTAACATGCATTAACATGTATTAACATGCATTAACATGTATTAACATGCATTAACATGTGTGGACGGTGGTCGTCCCGCTCCCTATGGCTCCTGTGTGATTGTCATTATTGCTGCTGTTATTATTTAGGGTGATGCCCAAAGGAATTAAATGTAATTAATAAAAATTAATTAATACTTCACGACTCCCACTGATGACTGCTGTCGTTGTGTCCTTGGGCGAGACACTTAACCCCACTTTGCCTGAAGCTCCACTCAGCTCCTGTGGACTCCTGCAGGAGGATCAGTGAGGGGCTTGGGCTCTGTGACTGGGTGCAGCTCTGACTGCCACCCCCCCCCGACCCAGACATGGATTAAGGGGAAGAAAATGGATGGATGGATGGGTTATAATATCTGCATATATGAAAGCCTACTCGTATCCCCCTTTTTATTGTATCATTGGCCTAAGACCAACAAACAGTTCCAATCAAAAATGTGTGTTTTAATGAGAATTTTACCAACACAGCTGCGTGAAAAACAACCATTTAATATTAAAGCTGCACTCTGTGATTTCAAAGCAGCGGTTTCAAAAGTTAGCGCTCCCCTCCCCGCACCCACAAATCGCCCCCCACTACCCCACACCCACTGTTGTTTACGGAGCTCACGTCTCACAATATGGATCTCACATCTGAACGTGGCGTGACCATAGGATGATAGAACCAGGAAGCGCGGAGGACGAGACTTTCTTTTGTCTGTTTCTCTGAGTAAGCAGAAACCTGTAACGAAGACACGGGAAGTTTCAGGTTAGCCTCCTCCGCTTGTTTACCTCAGCTGTCTGTGCTAACCACAGACCTGTGGCTTTTCTCAAGAAGGTGGGGGCCAGTGGTCCGCTGTGATTGGTCACAATCTGATCCCAAAACACATTCTCTTCCTTGTTTCACGAAAACTCAATCTAAAATAAAATGTTACACCAGCACAAATCTGCGCTGCTTTTTCTTCAAAAGGACATATGTCCCAATGCACTGCACGGATATGGATTGGATTTAACTAACGATTACAAAAATAAAGTCAGGTAATGCAGCTTTAAAATAACAATAAATGAACCGATTAAGAAAAGAGTGGTTAGCTGCAGCTTTACAGTAGTTAGTATTTGTTATTTGACGATAGTGGGTGGTCTCTTTTGGATCATGTCTCAGAGCTTTTCTTCAAATGCACGCAGCTAAAGCGTGTGTGTGTCCCTTTAAGAGCGGCTTGTATCAGTTGGTTTCCTTCATGTTGAACCTAATCACCGGATCTGCCCCGAGCACAGCCACAGCATGTGACTCTGTCCAGGCCACGCTCACAGTCACCCCCAACACAGAGCCCCGTCCTGGGCCACGCTCAGTCATGTGCTGGGGCTGTCCTGGAGAGAGGGAGAGATCAGAGAGAGAGAGAGAGCAGAGAGAGAGAGAGAGACCAGAGAGAGAGAGAGAGAGAGAGCAGAGAGAGAGAGAGAGAGAGAGCAGAGAGAGAGAGAGAGAGAGAGAGAGAGAGCAGAGAGAGAGACCAGAGAGAGAGACCAGAGAGAGAGACCAGAGAGAGAGACCAGAGAGAGAGACCAGAGAGAGAGACCAGAGAGAGAGACCAGAGAGAGAGACCAGAGAGAGAGAGACCAGAGAGAGAGAGACCAGAGAGAGAGAGACCAGAGAGAGAGCACAGAGAGAGAGAGAGAGAGCAGAGAGAGAGAGAGAGCAGAGAGAGAGACCAGAGAGCGAGAGAGACCAGAGAGAGAGAGAGCACAGAGAGAGAGGGAGACCAGAGAGAGAGAGACCAGAAGGACCCTAGAGTTAGACAAATATGAATCCACTTAATTATTTTTATATCTTTTTTTAATTGACTAAAATATTAGTGCACAATGCTAACCTGCTCACTCAATGAAGCCCACTAGGGAAGTGCTCATGGATGAAGTTTGGCTCCTATTGATTTACATGTAAACGTAAACTCTAGTCGCTCCAAGCAAAAGAACTAAACTAGCTTCGAGCAACCAAACTCTTCGTCAACATCGCATCCTCCTCCTCCCCCTCTTCTGTCTCTTCTTCCTCTTCCTCTTCCTCCCCTCCTCCTCTTCCTCCTCCTTCTCCTCTTCCTTCTCTTCTTCCTCGTCCTCCTCCTCTGCCTCCTCCTTCTTCCCCTCTTCCTCTTCCTTCTCTTCTTCCTCTTCCTCCTCCTCCCCTCCTCCTCTTCCTCTTCCTCTCCTCTTCCGTCTCTTCTTCCTCTTCCTCGTCTTTCTCCTCTTCCTCCCCCTTCTCCTCTTCCTTCTCTTCTTCCTCTTCCTCCTCCTCCCCTCCTCGTCTTCCTCCTCCTTCTTCGCCTCTTCTTCCTCCTCTACCTTCTTCCTCTTCCTCCTCCTCCCCTCCTGCTTTTCCTCCTCTTCCTCTCCTCTTCCTTCTCTTCCTTTTCCTCCTCCTCTTCCTCTTCTCTTCCTTCTCTTCTTCCTCTTCCTCCTCCTCCCCTTCTTCCTCCTCTTCCTCCTCCTCCTCTAACTCTTCTTCCTTCTCTTGCTCCTCTAATTCTTCTCACTCCTTCTCCTCCTCCTGCTCTTCCTCCTCCTCCTCTTCCTCCTCCTTCTCTTCCTCCCCCTCTTCCTCCTCCTCCTCTTCTGTGTAGAGCAGGATCTTGACCATGGGCTGAACTTCCATTTTGTCTTTGTGTGAGTTTTTTCTTCAGTGGAAAAGCTTTTAACAGAAACACAGAAAAAGGGAGTTCGTCTTCATCTGAGTTTGTGCTGCAGCACTTGAACCATTGCACTTGAACCATTGCACTTGAACCATTGCACTTGGCGACCGTTACGCCTTTTTTTATTTATTGTTATTTTCAGACGAAACTTTTGTCTCTCTGAAGGTTAGATACAGTGTGGTGTAAAAAAGTGCCGACCCCAACAAAGTGCCGACCCCAACAAAGTGCCGACCACAACAAAGTGCCGTCTCCAACGATGTGCCGTCTCCAACGATGTGCCGTCTCCAACGATGTGCCGTCTCCAACGATGTGCCGACTCCAACGAAGTGCCGACCCCAACGAAGTGCCAACCCCAACAAAGTGCCGTCTCCAACGAAGTGCCGACTCCAACAAAGTGCCGTCTCCAACGTAGTGCCGTCTCCAACGATGTGCCGTCTCCAACAAAGTGCCGTCTCCAACGAAGTGCCGACCCCAACGAAGTGCCGACCCCAACGATGTGCCGTCTCCAACGAAGTGCCGACCCCAACGAAGTGCCGACCCCAACGAAGTGCCGACCCCAACGAAGTGCCGACCCCAACGATGTGCCGTCTCCAACGAAGTGCCGACCCCAACGAAGTGCCGACCCCAACGAAGTGCCGTCTCCAACGAAGTGCCGTCTCCAACGAAGTGCCGACCCCAACGAAGTGCCGACCCCAACGATGTGCCGTCTCCAACAAAGTGCCGTCTCCAACAAAGTGCCGTCTCCAACAAAGTGCCGTCTCCAACAAAGTGCCGTCTCCAACGAAGTGCCGACCCCAACGAAGTGCCATCTCCAACAAAGTGCTAACCCCAAAAAAGTGCCAAACCCAGGCCTTCGCTGGAATACTCTCCCACAATACTTCAGAGCTTCACATCACACTTGTTAAACAGTGCAAATATTTATTTATTAATTATTATGTTTTTTTCTTTTCTTTGTGGCCATAGAAATAGTACAAATTAATCACAAGCTACTTTTACAAAATATTACAAAAAGAATAATGATGCTAACGTAAAACTTATGTATGTATGTAGGATACTTAACTGTTTATTTTAGTTTTGTACTTTGTCTCTTAATAATAATCATCGTAATAATAATAATGTTAATATATTGTTTTTTTGCATTTGCAGACTCTCAAAGTGTCTTCACATTATTCTTGCTCTCCAAACACAGTGTGTTGATGATCGGCCAATGACAAACTGGGACTTTCAGGGGTGTGTCATATATAGCCCCGTTTCCACCAGCCCAACCTGGCTCTATCCCACTCTAGTACCAGGTCCTTCTTCAGTCCCTCTTGGTACTAAAGTGGTACTAAAGTGTTCTAACTGACAGTGATTGGCCAGAGTGCTGCTGGAAGCCATGGTTACCAAGGAATAGCTACGGATACTGTTGTTGGTAGGTTGCTTGGTTGTGTCGCCAGATATTTAAGTGTAATGGAAACACAACCAGGTACAGTAGAGTAGGTCATGGTTACGTGTGATTGGAGATGGGCCGGAGATGGGCCGGAGATGGGCCAGAGATGGGCCAGAGATGGGCCAGAGATGGGCCAGTGATGGGCCAGTGATGGGCCAGAGATGGGCCAGAGATGGGCCAGTGGTGGGCCAGAGATGGGCCAGAGATGGGCCAGAGGTGGGCCAGAGATGGGCCAGAGATGGGCCAGAGATGGGCCAGAGATGGGCCAGTGGTGGGCCAGAGATGGGCCAGAGATGGGCCAGAGATGGGCCAGAGGTGGGCCAGAGATGGAGCCAGAGATGGGCCAGAGATGGGCCAGAGATGGGGCCAGAGATGGGGCCAGAGATGGGGCCAGAGATGGGGCCAGAGATGGGGCCAGAGATGGGCCAGAGATGGGCCAGAGATGGGCCAGAGATGGGCCAGAGATGGGCCAGAGATGGGCCAGAGATGGGCCAGAGATGGGCCAGAGATGGGGCCAGAGATGGGGCCAGAGATGGGCCAGAGATGGGCCAGAGATGGGCCAGAGATGGGCCAGAGATGGGCCAGAGATGGGCCAGAGATGGGCCAGAGATGGGGCCAGTGTATGCATTTGTATTCGGTTAGCGCAGAGCCTTGTTTGCAGGAAGGGATTTCTGAACGTAGCACACATTCCTGCTTCAGAGTGTTAATGTGAACAGCAGAGAGAGGGCTGCAAATACACAGGACTTGTTTTTATGGGATTAGAGCAGAGTTCATGGACTTTGACTCCTTCTAGTTTTTGTTGGATTTAGTTTAGTTTAGATGTTTTTCAGTCTGAGTACTTTGATAAAACACCTCATAATTAAATCATAAATCTCTTGGCTGAAGGGTTAGGATCCCCTTTAAAGTTTATTAAAATAGGGTCAGAATTATGAGTGTAAGTCCTCTTCCTCACACAATGACTTCTATCTCAGGTTTCTTCTCTTTTTGAGGCACTGTGATTATTTATGAGATGAATGCACTGTGTATGGACTGTGCGATACAAATAAACTTTCCTCTTGAGAAAGTAGAAGCTGTTGTTGAAGGCGGCGGGTGAACTATGGTGTTTTTAAGGTGTTTACTTTTAACACATGCTAAATATATAACTGACAATAACGTAATGTTAGCAATTAGCTACCAAAAGCTAACTGCTAAAGTAAATCGTGTTGCTATGATAACTAGGACTCTTATTTTTGGCAGAAAAACAATAGACTTGGCTCAGAACCAGGACCAGTTCAGGACCAGTCCAGGACCAGTCTAGTTCAGGATCAATCCAGGACCAGTCTAGTTCAGGACCAATTCAAGACCAAAACCAGTCCCAGATCAGTCCTAGATCAGGCCTAGACCAGTCCCAAACTAATCCAAGACCAGTCCAAGACCAGTCCAAGACCAGTCCAAGACCAGTCTAAGGCCAGTCCCAGACCAGTCCCAAACCAGTCTAAGGCCAGTCTTTTGGTTGCTAAGTGACCAAAAATGGCTACATTTGAATCTTACATAAAAATGAGTGAGGTTTAAGTTAAAACTTCACTCATTTCAAAAATAAAACTTAATTCCAAAGACAAAAACTAAAGAAACAAAGTTATGAGGAGCACAACTGTCCAGAGGATTCTGCTTCCACGACTCAAAGCCGTCACATTGACTGCTGTGTTCTGGTGCAGGTGGACAGTGCGTCCTCCATCTTGTCCTCACTCATCTCATGTCTTTGTTCTGCAGGAGTTCTTCGATCACGCAAAGAAGCTATGGGACGATGAAGGAGTGAAGGCCTGTTTCGAGAGGTCGAACGAGTACCAGCTCATCGATTGTGCACAATAGTAAGTGCTATGTCCTTTACCTCCCTTCCCCCCTGCTGTGTGCTGTTTTCTGGACTCTCGTCTCTGCTCTGGACCATGGTCTGGATTCACTTTGTTGTGGAATTTGTGGCAGAATCTTACAGTTGTTTTAGCTTTAGCCTTAGCTAGCTCTGGTCCAGTGTCATTTGGTTCTGATCCCAGTGTCTGCAGTTTCCTCGGTTGAATCCCCTCCGACCAATCAGAGAGCGGGGGAGGCGGGTGTTGTAGGTCGGTGTCGGTGACGTCAAGAGTTTGTGCTGAATTTGCTGGTTGTAGTTTGTCGAAGAATGTGTAAAATAATCTGTTCTGGTTCAATCCAAATATCAAGAAACTGAAGCCGGAGCAAGAGGAATGTTTAGTAAATGTCATTGAAGCAAAGATGTTGTGGCTCTACTCCCCACGGGCTCCGTTAGCGGCAAAGGAGATGGCTAAAGCTAGGCTAATGCTAAAGCTAGGCTAAATGCTAAATGCCTCGCTCACTCGGGCTCGTTACATACGTCACAGTAAACTCAGATCCAATCGTTTCAATCTGTAAAAGGAGTTAACCCCTCCCTCCTGTTCACGGAGTCATGGAGCAAACCCAGACCTTAGTATGAGATGAAATGAGTACCATGGTGCGGTAAGACCAGGCTACAGTTGTTTCTCTTGTTTTAACCCTTTAATGGTTTGTCACTTCATACTTGAAGCTTGGATCTGAAATCTACCTCATTGTTGCATCTCTACCACTTTTTAGACACTTTTTAGACACTTACTTATCATCAAACTGTTCCTCAACCATTTGTCAGAGGCCTATAATTATAAACAAAAACAAAAAAAACCCTAATTGTTTGTGTTATTAGTGCTCCTTTCTCTACATTTATATTGATTTTTTTCACTGTAAAAAGTGATGAAAAATATGTAAAATTGCTGTAATTGTATGTTAGTTTGAGCACATTTTGTCTCGTTTGTTTCGCAGTATCCTAAAAATCACTAGAAAAGCACTCGTAGAGCACAGACATCTGTCATGAGGCTCTCCTTTAAAACAGTGGATGCAGACCTCCTAAGGCTGTCCATTAATGTGTAGGCTGTGTAGACCCAGGACTGAGGCTGTAGACCCAGGACTGAGGCTGTAGACCCAGGACTGAGGCTGTAGACCCAGGACTGAGGCTGTAGACCCAGGACTGAGGCTGTAGTTCCAGGACTGAGGCTGTAGACCCAGGACTGAGGCTGTAGACCCAGGACTGAGGCTGTAGACCCAGGACTGAGGCTGTAGACCCAGGACTGAGGCTGTAGACCCAGGACTGAGGCTGTAGACCCAGGACTGAGGCTGTAGATCCAGGACTGAGGCTGTAGACCCAGGACTGAGGCTGTAGACCCAGGACTGAGGCTGTAGACCCAGGACTGAGGCTGTAGATCCAGGACTGAAGCTGTAGACCCAGGACTGAGGCTGTAGACCCAGGACTGAGGCTGTAGATCCAGGACTGAGGCTGTAGATCCAGGACTGAGGCTGTGGACCCAGGACTGAGGCCGTAGACCCAGGACTGAGGCTGTAGATCCAGGACTGAGGCTGTAGACCCAGGACTGAGGCTGTAGACCCAGGACTGAGGCTGTAGATCCAGGACTGAGGCTGTAGACCCAGGACTGAGGTTGTAGACTCAGGACTGAGGCTGTAGACCCAGGACTGAGGCTGTAGATCCAGGACTGAGGCTGTAGACCCAGGACTGAGGCTGTAGACCCAGGACTGAGGCTGTGGACCCAGGACTGAGGCTGTGGACCCAGGACTGAGGCCGTAGACCCAGGACTGAGGCTGTAGATCCAGGACTGAGGCTGTAGACCCAGGACTGAGGCTGTAGACCCAGGACTGAGGCTGTAGACCCAGGACTGAGGCTGTAGACCCAGGACTGAGGCTGTAGACCCAGGACTGAGGCTGTAGTTCCAGGACTGGCCGCGCACAAGTGAGAAAAGTTTTGTTTTGTGTCTTAAACTTGTATTCATAATTTGAGGTCAGTCTCGTGAGGACTCTACAAAGTTGTCAATTCTTCAACACCAGATCAGAGAATCCGGGACACTAAAAACAAACACATAACAGCCATTAGTCCACAGAGCGCAGCATCAGCACTGTCCTGTAATGTCCCCAAACGTCCTGGATCTCCTCTGTCCCTCAGACCCACATCAGAACATTTTCAGGTCCAATTGAACCCAGTGAAAGACCCAACAGAACTTTGATATTGAGAGCTGTATGACCCCGCTCCGGACTCTCAGAGCGACCACACCCAGAGCAAACACACATATCCACACAGGACAGGACAGCAGCAGCACAGAGACTCACAGTTTAGGCAAGGCAGGGCAAGGCAAGTTTATTTGTATAGCACAATTCATACACAAGGCAATTCAAAGTGCTGAACAAAACAAGAAAGCATAAATTATCACAGAACATTAAAAAGAAAGATAAAAATATAAAATCCCTCAGTTGTATGCACAGCTAAACAGAACTGTCTTTAACCTGGTTTTAAACATTGTCATTGAGGAGGCCTGTCTCACATCTTCAGGAAGATTGTTCCAGATTTTAGCAGCATGAATCTGAAAAGCAGCCTCCCCATGTTTAGTTCTGACTCTGGGCACTAACAGGAGTCCAGTCCCTGTGCTCCTCAGAGTCCCAGCAGGAGGCCAGTCCCTGTGCTCCTCAGAGTCCCAGCAGGAGTCCAGTCCCTGTGCTCCTCAGAGTCCCAGCAGGAGTCCAGTCCCTGTGCTCCTCAGAGTCCCAGCAGGAGTCCAGTCCCTGTGCTCCTCAGAGTCCCAGCAGAAGGCCAGTCCCTGTGCTCCTCAGAGTCCCAGCAGGAGTCCAGTCCCTGTGCTCCTCAGAGTCCCAGCAGGAGGCCAGTCCCTGTGCTCCTCAGAGTCCCAGCAGGAGGCCAGTCCCTGTGCTCCTCAGAGTCCCAGCATGAGGCCAGTCCCTGTGCTCCTCAGAGTCCCAGCAGGAGTCCAGTCCCTGTGCTCCTCAGAGTCCCAGCAGGAGTCCAGTCCCTGTGCTCCTCAGAGTCCGGGCTGGTTCATATGGGACTATGTGTCTGTCTGTGTGTGTGTGTGTGTGTGTGTGTGTGTGTGTGTGTGTGTGTGTGTGTGTGTGTGTGTGTGTGTGTGTGTGTGTGTGTGTGTGTGTGTGTGTGTGTGTGTGTGTGTGTGTGTGTGTGTGTCTTACAGTAGTCTTCTAGCCCTTACACTGGGTCCATCTGCTGCTCTAGGCCCAGGTCGCTCTGTGGGTGACGGTCTTAATGTGATTAAATAGATACTTTACTTTAGATACTTTACTTTAGATACTTCTAATAAAGAACAGAACTTATTTCTCGGTCATCATCTTGACTTCAGTGGAATCAGTCTGGTTTCTTATTTACTTTTCTCTGTTTCACAATAGAACCCAGATACAGTTGTTCATGAGCGCAGTGTAGCAAGGCCTCTACTGTGATAACAGGACCAGGACCAGACCAGGACCAGACCAGGACCAGACCAGGACCCTACTCTCTATCTGGTCTCTCTTCTCTCTCTCCCTCTGGTCTCTTTCTGGTCTCTCTCTGGTCTCTCTTCTCTCTCTCTCTGGTCCCTCTCTTCTCTCTCTCTGGTCTCTCTGTGGTCTCTCTCTTCTCTCCCTCTCTCTCTCTCTTCTCTCTCTCTGGTCTCTCTGTGGTCTCTCTCTTCTCTCCCTCTCTCTGGTTTCTCTCTCTGGTTTCTCTCTCTGGTCTCTCTTCTCCCCCTCTCTCTCTTCTCCCTCTCTCTCTCTCTCTGGTCTCTCTCTTCTCTCCCTCTCTCTCTCTCTGGTTTCTCTCTGTGGTCTCTCTTCTCTCCCTCTCTCTCTCTCTCTCTCTCTGGTCTCTCTCCTTTACATAACCCTCATGAAGGACTCTCAGCTGGGATCGTCACATTGATCCCGATGCCGGAGCTCCTCGCCGTGACCCGCTCAGCTGTTGCGGGGTTTCTCTCCTGATGACCATTGTCTGGGTTTGAGAGCGTCGTGGACAAACGGACTCTGTGCTGCTGTAGTCTCTCTCGCCTTTGAACATAAGTTTGACTCGGGGACAAGTCTTTATCGGTTCCAGCTTCCCTGGAAAAGAGAGGAGGGGGAGAGGGGTCACATGGATCTGCTCCCAGCTACTCTACTCTACTCTGCTCTGCTCTGCTCTGCTCTACTCTACTCTACTCTACTCTACTCTACTCTACTCTACTCTACTCTGCTCTGCTCTACCCTGTGTTCCGCTACCATACTCTACTCTACTCTACTCTACTCTACTCTACTCTACTCTACTCTACTCTGCTCTGCTCTGCTCTACCCTGTGTTCCGCTACCATACTCTACTCTACTCTACTCAACTCTACTCTACCCTAATCTACTCTGCTCTGCTCTACTCTACTCTACTCTACTCTACCCTAATCTACTCTGCTCTACTCTACTCTACTCTACTCTACTCTACTCTACTCTACCCTAATCTACTCTGCTCTACTCTACTGTACTCTGCTCTACTCTACTCTACTCTACTCTATGTTCCGCTACCATACTCTACTCTACTCTCTTACTCTACCATACTCTACTCTGCTCTACTCTATTCTCTTACTCTACCATACTCTACTCTGCTCTACTCTATTCTCTTACTCTACCATACTCTACTCTGCTCTACTCTATTCTCTTACTCTACCATACTCTACTCTGCTCTACTCTATTCTCTTACTCTACCATACTCTACTCTGCTCTACTCTATTCTCTTACTCTACCATACTCTACTCTGCTCTACTCTACCCTATGTTCCGCTACCATACTCTACTCTACTCTAAGATAGACAAGAGATCCTAGTAGGGAGGTCCCTCAGTAGGGAAATGTCAATGTTGCAGCACACATACAGGACAGCAGTAAGAGCAGACTGGGAGCAGACAATCTCTATCTCTATCTCTATCTATATCTATATCTATATCTATATCTATCTCTATCTCTATCTCTATCTCTATCAATATCAATATC